AGTAAGGGGCGATTTGCAATTATTTTTGTTTTTATTTTAGAAAATTTACATACATAGCCTCCAATTCTTATGTATTTGCTTATTTCACACCCAAGCTTTAATTTTTACATGATAAGTATTCTATATTGTGTATGAAAAGGTGGATTACACTGTTTGACCATGTAAAAAACTGAAATTTGAGGCAAATACATAAGAATTGCGTGCTATGGATGTAAATTCTCCTTTTATTTTTTATTTATTTTAATTTTATTTTATTTATATTTTGATTTAAAAATATATATATATAAATGACGTATTTTGTTAAAATATGATTATTTTTTAAACATATGACTATTGAAAATATGATTACTTACATATCTTCCTCATAAATTTTCATTTTTACATGCATAGTGTTTTGGTGTGATATAATGCTATTTATATACATAGGTGTACTTCATTTAAAAAAAAAAATGAAAATAATGCTATTTTTGATGTGGATGTAAAATTTTGAGATCTTGTGGGAAATGCAAAAACATAAGAATTGTAGAATTAGATTATAATGGGTCGATCTAAATTAGGTATGTTTAATTAATTTTGGGAAAAATTAAGCGACATTTAAAACTTTGTCTTCTTTATATGAAAAAATTATAGTGGATCAAAACATTTGCTCGAACTTAGGTATCACATGTAGCTTAGGCCGATATAATATTCAATGTCAAATATGATTAATTGGGTTAATTGTATGCATTGGCCAAAAACATACAAGTCAACAACCATTCTAAGACTCAAATTTGAATTAATAATTGAAAGATGTCTTGATAGTGGCTATACACAATGTGTTCAAGCATGCCACATGAGGCTTCATTTATATTATATAGTACGATCAATTCTTAAATAAAATCTTATGTCTCGTACTATCAAATTATGCAATTATAACTTGTAGGATTGTCACATTAAGTATTACAAATGAAGTAATCACTAGTTCTATAATAAAAAATAGTCTTTAGGACGCCCGTACATCAATAATTCACATATAAACATTGAAAATGAAATATCAAAAACGTACAATAGATTGTATCATGATAGAAAATAATTAATTAGTGAGTTATTGAATGATGTTGAGTATTTTAAGCAACATTATATATATATATATATATATAAAAGTGTGTAAATATGTAAATATATATTGAGACATGTTAGGGGAAATGATATAGAAAGAATGCCGTCCCTTCAAGTATGCCAAAGGTCGCACGAATCATAAATGATATTGCCACAAGGCAAATCCACCATCAAGTCATGAAAGCATGCACGCAGTTCTCTAATCAATCTATGGCTGATTATTTTTATAAAGTTAAAACATTGATTTTAAGTGTTCGAACTTTGTCTGCTTCCTCAGTTCTGAACTATAAAAAACAAAGAGTGGAAGAAGTGATGCAAAACAAATGGATGCCACAATCTTAGTCTCTTTTGCTAACTAGGCATGCGGAGAGTGCATTAGGAAGGTGGTAAAATTGAAGAGCCAAAAGGCTCCACTCTTTTACTTAATAAAAAAGCCAGGAAGTTAAATATGCACGAGTACAGCCTAGTGTTGATGATTAATCCTGCATCTACATTCTTTTTAATGCTGTGTGACACTTAAAACGTCCTTGCTGGTGATTTAATTGAAGTACTCATTAGAGGACAAAATTGTCGGCTGAGAGAAGATTTTGTTTATGCAGAAATGAGATCAGCCAGGACGTAGGAGATTTTGTCTAGCTTTGTGCTGCTACTGATTCGTCAAACATGATATGCCATTGTGTTATTGTTTAGAATATGCCTTGAAGGTGAAGGAATTAACCTTTTTTTTTTAAATATTGTGGCGTTTGTGAGAAACATATATATAGTTAAAGAAATGACCGAATGCTATTAGACGAGCTCTAGTAATTCTTAGGCGTGCTAAATATACGAGTAGCACATCTTACACATGAGGGGATTCAAACTCATGGCTTGAGGGGATTTACGACCTTCAGAGAGGCAGCTCCACCAATAAGCCACGGTACGTGCACAGAAACAGGAACAGACATATATATGACACTCATAGAAGATCCAAATTTATATAAATAAATAAATATATATATATATATATATATATATATATATATA